ATGCTCAGCATATAAAGCTGGGGGAAGAAGAAGGAAGGGGGGGACATTCGGAGTAATGGCGTTTGTCTTCCCAAGCAACCGTTACGCGTGATGGAGCCCGGCTTTCCTGGAGATGGCTGAACACCTGCCTGCCCATGGGAAGGAGTGAATGAATTCCTTGTTTTGCTTTGCTTGCGTGCGCAGCTTTTGCTTTACCTATTAAACTGTCTTTATCTCAACCCACGAGTTTTCTCACTTTTACCCTTCCGATTCTCTTCCCCATCCCACTGGGGAGGAGTGAGCGAGCGGCTGTGTGGTGCTTAGTTGCCGGCTGGGGTTAAACCATGACACTGGTGTAATTTCGTTGGTGATGAGGAGTTGTGTAATTATAATTACTGCTTAATGGAAATGCAAAGCCCTCTGATCACAACTGTGAGCAGCACGTGAGGTGAGCAAGCCAGTAAGAGGATGTGATCCTTGACACTCACCAAGGCGGCTGACCAAGTGCCTGCCAGGCGTATGTGGTGGTAGCCAGATGAAGCAGTGGACAGGCAGCTACAAGACAGCTTCCTGGTGTCCAGAGGTGCTGAGACGCCGCTGTACACCCACCTGCCAGCTCAGGTTAAACTGGGTATCGCAGTAGGATGCTAGGTGCCTGGCTCTAAATGTAGACCTTTGGAAAGAAGGGCTAAAAGTCTCTATTAAGTCTTAATTTCAGGTGAAGGGAAGTTGGCTACCGACTTGTTTAATAATACATAGCTGAGATCTCCCTCTTCCCAAAGTCAGGACCAAGCTTTCTTTGTATACCTTAAAAAGGGCTGCTAAACTCTCAGTACTTCAGTGGGAGCTGGTGGATGCAGCGTGCTTGAAAAGCAGGTTATTTATGATGAGGAGAGATGTCCAAAGACACAGAGGAGCTTAGTGCTCTGCAGGAGGTCAAGTCAGGAAGGCTTTACCCTACCCTGAGGGTCACTCGTGCTTCATGGCAACCCAACACGGCGGCCAGGGGCATTGGACACAGCGGGGTGCTGCCGAAAGTGCATCACAAACCTCGTGTGCCAGCCAGCCAGTTATGGCAGGCTGCGAGGCGCTTTCCACAGAAGTAGTGATATTAAACCTGGGGCTGCAGCCTGAATGCACCGCTGGAGCTGTGATGTTTCCTTCTTAACATAAGTTTCCCAACCATACAGCATCCCTCTGAGTGCAGGTTCTTTACTTCCTCTGGAACATCGCTGTCTGCTCTTAGGCAGTTGCCTGGCTAAGCTTTAGTGGCTTCTTTATTTCAGCTACAGCCAGAGTTACATCTGTCTGTAATTTAAGGCTTGTGTGCCTGTCAGGTACTTAAGGAACTGTTCAGTCGCAGAGGCCAGTGCACATTAAGCTGGTTAGGAGTTTTGTAGCCTTTACCTCTCCAGGGCTCCTCTGTGCTTTACAGCAGAGAACGCTACCAGACAACCTGTGCCCCTCCTTCCCGAAAGACCTCCCCTCCCAAGCGTTACAGTCTGAGGACATGATTAGCATTCACACTTAGGGGTAACGTTTTAATGGGCACATATTCTGTCCTGTTTACTAGACGAGAAAAGAGGAAGTAAAATTTCTCAAATCAGGCTTTCCGGTCTTTGTAAATGTAACGCATCAGCACACTGGGTTTTATGTCCTAATAATGTACAGGGTCTGGGCCGTGGAAGAGTCCCTCACCTTTAAGACTGTTCTGAAACCTAAGCTGTAGGTAGGTGTGAAAGGAATCATTTGGTTTCTGAAGTCTGCCAAGTATATTGCTTTTGGACATTAACCCTGTAAAACCCCTTTATACTCTGTCCTTCCTACCTCACAAATCTTTCATGCACATGCCAAGTATTTAAATTATTTACATACTGTACCTTACCCTACAGCCACTTAAAATACACTTCTTAAACACGAGTTCCTTTGATAAAGCAGATTCAGTTTTGTTTTTTTGTTTTTTTTTTTTAAGTTAGCATTTGACAGTGTTTCTCATCACTTCTCTGTTGGAACTTCCATTTTCTTTTTCCCTGAAACTCTGTTTCTGTTCAGAGGGTACATAAAGTATTGATTATTTTTTGTTGTGGCCCAAGGTAGCAAATTCTTTTCTTCACAGGCTTTTATGAGGCAATGTGCTGTTGAAGATTTTTTTTTTTAAAATATATTCATAGAGGTGTTTCTTGAGGAGAAGTTTTCAAGACTTAAAGGACATGAGTATCTGGTTGAACTCTTGAAATACTGTCACGCTAATGTCCATATTTATAAAAATGATGTCAGGTGCTGCTCTCACTGAGCTCACAGGCCTGGAAGCACACATGAAAGCAACATTGTGTATTGACTTCGTTAGTGTTTGGCCAGTCCAGAGTTTTAATCGTAGAGAATATGTTAAATGTGGGTTTATGGCTAAAAATTGCAGTAGAGAAACAAAGATCAATCTTGAATCCTTGAGCAGATTTCTGTGCATGACAGGGTCTGACTCAGTGATAGAAGGGAACAGTTTCATTTCTTAACTGTGAGAAAAGAAATATTTTCTTAAATTACAGTCTCGTAAACTTGAATTTTGCCATTGTCTCAGATTAAGGGTGACACCCAGCGGCCAATTAAAGTATCATTGAGTATTTCCTGAAAACGATCGCTCACGCTAGAATACATACGACGCATTTTGCTTCTTAGGAAAACTGAAATAAATAACCACATTGGCCCAGCAAATGCAGGAGCCTCTGGCACGTGTGTGTGGTCTCGAGAAGACAGCTCAGGATAAGCCCTTCCTCGTGGCAGCCCCTGCGCCAGACCAGGGGCTGTGGCTCAGTCCCCTGCACCCTCAGTCGCTCCTGCCGGGGAGGCTGTGGAGTGCAGGTACCGACTGGTTCGCTAACAGATGAACCTTATAAATCAACAGCATGATGTAAGCACTGACTCTTGCTTTATAATGGGCAGTCCTTATTTTCAAGCAGGACGCCAAGATAGACAAGCCGGTCATTTTTGCACATTTTGTTTGCTGTTTGCAGGGTTTTATTTTTATGCCTCATTTCTGCTGTACCTGCTTCCCCTTCTGTACGTCACCATGGCAAAGTGTAGGTGCTCAACAGGCTG